CCTCGCCCCGCCCTCCCCTGCTGCCCACCTTTCTCGCAGTGCCTGCCGTGGAACCCTCGGGGGCACTCGCAAGTGTAGGAGTCCTCGTGGACGTCACAGGAGCCTCCATTGAAGCAGGGGTCTGAGTCGCAGGGTGAGGGCAGTGCTGCAGGGGCACAGGGAGGTCACCCTGACATCCCAGCTGGATCCAAGGCCCCTTAAAAGACACTCTTTGCGGGGGAGGGGCCTTGATTCTTCACACCAGGCTCTTCGGCCCTTCTCTGGACATGCTTTTATTCTCGAGTTTTCCAGAATTCACCCCACCTCTCCTGGGAGCTAGGATTGAGCTGTGGTGCACAGATGTTTTTGCAGCAACACCTCCACCGTCTTCACGTGTGATTATACAGTATGCAAGCCGTTATTTGTACTCAGAAATACACAGTAGTACTTAATCACATACTTAGACGGGCATGAAGTGTTTTAATAGCTAAGCTAGGGGCTTAGGGAAGAGCCTGTAGGCCTCCAGGGGTGCTTTTCCAGCTGTGAGCTTCCTGCAGCGGAGGGGGTAGACAGCCAGGCCCCAACGCGGAGGACGACACCGGGAAAGGCACACCCACCCATGGGGCCTCTTGTGGGCCAGTAGGGAAGCCCTGGCCTCTGCCTGTGTGGCCCCCACTTTCTCCTCCTAACACCCTCTCCCTGGCTTCTAGGTGGGCCTGTGCCCCTAGCCCTACCCCCACTCACAGTGGCTGACGTTGTGGTCCGTGTGGCAGACGCAGAGGTAGCTCCCACCGTACTCCATGCAGTAGCCCCCGTCGGGACACTGCGTGTTCATGTTGCAGGGAGTGGCTGTGACTTCTGCAGGGAAGGAAGAGGCCCATTCGTCTTCCTGGGGACTTCTCGTCCTTGAGAAGGATCAGGTGGCCCCTCCAGCATGGCCTGGTTCAGGCACTCTTGTGGTGGGCCCCCTCCTGGGGTAGGAGTGGGGGATCACGGGACCACTAGTTAAGGGTCTGGATCTATGGTTTGGGCCCAGACCCAAGCCACCAGCTATACTCTGGTTTGGGGGATTTTCAGGGGCAGGGCAGGAAGCGTGCCCCTATGCAGCCCTGGGCACTTACCAAATTCACAGAGGAGCCCAAAGAAGCCTGGGGGGCACTGGCAGAGGGTGGTGTTGGTCCCCAGGCATCTGCCACCATTACGGCACTCACAGTGGTCAGGAGTTCCTGCCGTAGATTGAGGGGGAGCCTCCACTGTGGGGGTGCTGGAGGATCGGGGCCCTCTCCTGCTTCTGACCCTGCCCTGCTCCTGTGGCTACCTTCCCATGAACACTGCTATGCAGATACACACACAAACACACACACACACACACACACTCTCTCTCTCTCGTCCCCCCACCCACTCATGGGTGTTTGCACACACACCCGTTGCCTTCCTGTATGCACTACCCACAGGAGGACCCTGCCCCGGACTGCAGCCCTGGTAGCCCTGGCCCAGACTCACTCTCCCTGCAGTCAGGCCCGGTGAAGCCCTGGGGGCATTCGCACACGTAGCCCTCATCTGCATCCACACAGGTGCCCCCATTCTGGCAAGGGGCTGAGAGGCAGGCATCCGGCACTGGTTGGCTTCCTGCAAGAAAGACAGAGGTCACCAGAAGCTGCACGGAGAACATGGGGGGAATGGGGCCAAGGGCCCCCTTGCCCAGACCCCACAGCACTCAGTTCTCAGTGCAAGTGGGATTTAAGCCTGAGGCCCACTTTCTGGAAGCTGGTTTCTAGCTGCCGCTCACCATCTGAGCCCCCTCTGTGGAGCAGAAGGTGAAGCAAGAGTATGGAGACCTCACGGTGTGCACCAGTGGGCCCAGCTAAGACCAGAGGGCTCCAAACAAATGCTTCTAATCAAGCATCTATGTTAGTAACATGGTTGGGATTTTCCAGTTACAGTTTTTGTTGATTTCTAGTTTAACTACTGTAATCAGAGAACACAGTCCTTTTTAACTGATTGAGCTTTATTTTATGTCCTACAGGATGGTCTGTCATGGTGAGTGCTCCATGAGCACTTGGAAAGGAAGTGAGTGTCTGTAAATGTCACTTAGGTCAGGTGGGCTGACGGTGCTGTTTGCATCTTCGAGGTCCCTCCTGATTCCTGCGAATCACTGAGAGCGGCGGGTTGGAATCTGGTTACAGATCTATTTCTCCTTGTTTTCCCTTCATGTATTTTGACTCATGTTCACAGGTGCAAGTACATCAGAATTGCTATGCCTTTTTGATGCTTGACACCTTTGTCATAAAAGACCCCTCTGTTCCGGGCAGTATTCCTTTCTCTAGAGTTTAATCTGTTTGCTATGAATGTAACGACTCCAACTTCTCTTGATCAGTGTTTGTCAACCTATTCCTTTTCATTGTTAGATGTTTGATTTCTTCATGTGGTTCAGAATTTATCTTTTAAATAATATATGGCAAAATTGACTTTTGCTCGAGGTACACTTCTGTGAATTTTAACACGTGTATAGATTTGTGTTGCCCCCACCACAGTCAGGACACAGAACATTCCGTTACCCCAAATACTTGCTTGTTGTATCTTCAGGGTCACAGACTCCGTGCCCTCCTGAGGCCCTGGCAACTACTGATCTGTTCCTCACCACAGCTTTGTTGCTTTAAGATTACTCATGAAGAGTATGTAATCTTTTGAGACTGGCTTCTTTCACTCAGCATGAGGCCTCCGGGATCTGTCTCTGTTGTGTGATCAGCAATCACGCGTCCCACGAACAGGGAGGGACATTTGGGTTCTCAGGTTTTGGTGATTGTAAATAGACATGCTATAAACATTTGTGTATTTTGTGTGAACGTAAGTTGTCATTTCTTTAGGGTTCACAGCTAGGAATGGGATTGCTGGGTCATATTATAAGTGTATGTTTAACTTTATGAAAAGCTGCCAAGCTGTTTTCACAGGGGCTAAGCATTTGGCATCATCACCAAAACTACGTGAGAGTTCCCACGGTTCTGTGTCCTCACCAGTCAGCGCTTTTTATTTTAGCCATTCTGTTAGGTTTGTGGTGGTATCTCATCGTGGCTTTAATGTGCAACTCACCCATGGCTAATGATAATGATGCATGATTACATTTGTTCACCTGCTCCAGATATCCTTTTTGGTTCAGATCTTTTGTCCATGTTTTGCTTGGTTTCTCACAGGTGAGTGTGGAGAGTTCTTTATGTGTTCCAAACGCCAGCCCTTTGTCAGACGGGAGTGCTTTGAGCATCTCTCGAAGCGCACAGCCTGTCTTCTCGTTCTCTTGACCGTATCTTTCACAGGGCAGCCTGTGTCATTCTGATGAGGCCCACTTCTGTTTTTCTTTGCTGGAGTGTACTCTCCATGTCTTATCTAAGCACTGTTCATGTAACCACAGGTCACACAGATTTTTCTCTTATGTTCTCTTCTAAGAATGTTTTCCATTCAGGTCTATAATTCATTCTGACCTAATCTTGTACAAGGTGTGAGGTTGAAGTTCAGTTTCTACATGAGAATGTCTAATTGTTCCAATACCATTTGTTGAAAAGATCATCCTTTCTCCACTGACTTGCTTCCACACCTTTAAAAAAACCTTGGCTGTATTTGTGTGGGTCTACTTCTGGATCCTCTCTTCTGTTCCATGGATGTGTGTGTCAGTCCCTTTGCCAATACCACAGGATCTTGATCACTGTAGCTTTGTTGTAAGTCAACACTAAGTAGTGTGATGCCTCAAAATGTATTCTTTTCCAAAATTGTTTTAGCTATCTTAATTCCTTTGCCTTTCCATATAAATTTTAGAACCAACTTGTCCAAAGCTACAGAAAACTCTGTTGACACTTTGATTGGAATTATATTAAATCTATCAATCAGTTTGGGGAGAACTGACATATTTACTACGTTGAATCTTCCAATCCATGAACATGGGATGTCCTTCCATTTATTCAAATCAGCATACAAGTCCCGTACATGTTTTATTAGATTTACACCTAAGTCTTTCAGTTTGGAGGAAGCTATTATAAATGGTATTGTTTTTAATATTCTGGATCACATTACAATGCCCAAGGTAGGGAACTCAGGAGTTCATAGATGATTGTAGGGTTGCAGCCCAAGATCCCCCTCTCTGCAACCTCCCCGTAGTTTCAAGTGCTCTGGGGCTGCCCTTTTTAGTCCTCTGGCAAGAGAGTTGGGGCTTTTATTGCCCCATGCTATGACTTACTTCCCGTGAGTGCACTCATGTCTGGGCCGAGTGGTGGGTGGACAGAGAAAAAGAAAAACGATGGAAGTTGCCCAGTCTTGTGGAGCCGTGGGACCTCCAGTTGGAGAGGAAGTTTCCTCCAGTCAGTTTGGGTCCCTGAGGGAATCCCCCCTTTGCTGCTATTGTTGGTCCTGCTTCTCGTGCCCAACTAGGGGCTGCTCTTGGAGCTCTTTCCATCCATCTGATGCTCACTTCTGGTCTGGGAGTCCTGCTTTGAGTCCAGGCAGGGGGGACACCAGAGGAAAAAAATGGTGAACTCACTACTGGTTCTGTGGTGCTTTGAAGCTTGGTCCTCTTCCCCAATCCACCTGCTACTACTTATTTTTCAGAGTCCTCAGATTGCTACTCCATGCATTCTGTCCAGAATTTATGGCTGCATTCAGTGGGAGACACAAGGTAGAGTGTGCTTACTCCAATCTTACCCCAAATCGGAAACCCATTCCAATTTTCAAATTATTTTCAAATTATCTGTGTCTTTATATTTATAGTAGGTTTCTTGTAGATAGTATTTAGTTGTATCTTGCTTTTCAATTCAATTTTACAATGTCTGCCTTTTAATTGGTGTGTTTAACCAATTAATATAACTATCAATATGATTAAACCTATCATCTTGCTCTTGGTTATCATTTGTCCCAATTATTCTTTATTCCTTTTTTCTTCTTTTCCTGCCTTCTGGATGAAGTGTTTTTAGGATTCCATTTTATTTCCACCACTGGTTTATTGGCTATAACTCTTTATTATTATTATTTTTTCTTGTTCCTCTGGGTTTATAATGTATATCTTTAACTTACTGTAGTCTATCTTCAAACAGTATCACACCACTTCATATATAATATAAGGCCATTACTATATTATTTCCATCTTTCCCTTCCTATCCTTTTTGCTAGACACTGATAAACTATGGCTTGCAGAGCAAATCTTGCTTGCCACCCATTTTAAAAAATGAAGTTTCATTGGAAAACAGCCATGCCCATTCGTGTATGTATGTCTATGGCTGGCTGCTTTTGCATTGCACTGGCAGAGTTGAATACCTGTGATCACATGGCTCATAAAGCCAAAAATATTAATATCTGGCCCTTCACAGAGAAAGCTCACATATTCTGCTTTAAGCAATTGAGGTCATACGTTTTATTTCTTTAAATGTTATAAACCCCATAACATATTGTTATTTTTTGTGTTAAAATTATCTTTAAAGAGATTAAAAAGTAAGAAGAAAAGTATTTTACAGGCATACCTTGGAGATATGGTGGGTTCAGTTCCAGACCACTGTAATAAAGCGGATATGGCAATAAAGCAAGTCAAATGAATTTTCTGGTTTCCCAGTGCCTATAAAAGTTATGTTAACACTACACTGCGGTCTATTAAGTGTGTGATAGCATCATGTCTAAGAAAATATACACACCTTAATTAAAAATACTTTGCTAAAAAAATGGTAACCATCATCTGAGATTTAGTGAGTCATAATCACTGAACATAGATCACCATAACAAATATCACCATAATTTAAAATTTTGAAATACTGCAGAATTACCAAAATGTGACACAGAGACACAAAGTGAACGAATGCTATTGGAAAAATGGCCCCGTTGGACTGGCTTGGTGCAGGGTTGCCACAGAGCTTTAATTTGTACAGAACACAGTATCAGTGAAGGGCAATAAAATGAGGTGTGCCCGTATGTTTACCCAGGCGTTTACCATTTCTAGAGCTCTTCATTCATTTGTGTAGATCTGGATTTTCATCTGGTGCCATTTTTCTTCAATCTAAGGAATTTCCTTTAATGTTTCTTGCAAATCAGATATGCTGGTGATGAATAATTATCTGTTTCTGCTGTCTGAAAAATATCTTAATTTCACCTTAATTTTTGAAAGATAATTCTCCTGTGTATAGACTACTAGGTTGATAGCACACTGTCTTTGGGCTTGTGTTGTTTCTGATGAGAGGTCTGTTATCATTCTTGTTTCTCTGTATGTACTGTGTCTTGTCTTTTTCCTCTGGCTGCTTTTCAGATGGTCTCTTTGTTATTGGTTTTCAGCAGTTTGATTATGATGTGCTTTGTGTGATTTTCTTCATGCTTTTCTTGGATGTGTGGGGTTTAATTTTCATCGAATTTAGAAAATATTTGGCTATTACTTCCTCATTCATTTTCTGTGCCCCTCCACTCACCTCCCTCCTTCTGGGACTCCACATGAACATACACCAGACTGCCTAGTGTGTGACCCACAGGTCACTGAGGAGATGGTCTTGGTTGCAGTCTCTCTCCCTCCTGTGCTGCTTGTTGGGTGGTTTCTCACTTCAGTTCACTGATTTTTCCTTCAGCAATGTCTACCCTGTAGCTAATATAGCCAGTGTATTTTTTATTTATTTTTATTTTTTAAAAAAGATTTTATTTATTTATTTGACAAAGAGAGACACAGCGAGAGAGGGAACACAAGCAGGG